CTGGTGTAACCATCACCAATGGATGCTTTCTCAGCAGAATGACTTCCTGAAACCGCTACCATACTGGTATAATGAATGTTACTTTGCCTTGATTTTGAACCCGAATCCTTAGTTGTGGCCCCAGTCTTTCAAACACTGAGGGTGATGATGACTTATCTGATTTTTTCTCAGGCCCTTCAATCCTAGATTTCTTTTTCTGCCATTCATCACTTCGGCTAAGTCTTCTTTTTGTTGTAGAAGACGTGATTGAGTCACCAGTGCTCTTTGTGCTACCTCCACTAGTCTTGCTCTCCTCAGTACTCCTTTTTTGTCTCCATATTTGACTAGGTTGGCTTGGTTGGCTTTCATGCTCTTTTCCTTTAGAGGAGTTCCAGCTTAGTCTTTCTTTGGCACTTCTTTTACCTTTTGTTTTCTCCTCCTGCTGCTCCTTTGGAAAGCTCAATCTTTGTTTAACTGGGATATGTTGCTCATGATCTTCTCTTAAATCAATCCTTTTACCCTTATCCTGCATTTTTCTTCTCTGAATATCTGTCTCTTCAGGGAGTTTCTTAGTTCTTTTCCTCTGGGTTTGCTGGGTATGAAAAAGGCAAACTGTCTGGTCATGAGTTAGTCGCTTGCAGATGAAGCACACTTTGAGAAGCTTCTCATATTCTAGCTCTACCATCGCTTTCTCTCCTGTTCTAAAATGTGCTAGAACCTTAAATTTCAGAGGTTCCTCTGCTCTAACCCACACTCGAGCTCTAACATATTCCAGAGAAGTAGACTGCTTAGCGTGAAGCTCTACTATTTTCACCCTCCCTAATGGACCAACAATCGTTTTCACAGCATGTTCCTTAACAAGATGGATAGGAATACCTCTGATTCTGATCCGAAAGAGTATTGTGTTGAGGAAGGTCGAGTCAGGGTTTGCCTTCCATTGATCCAGAGCCACAATCCATCAGTTAACAAACCATGGCCCATGGTGTAGCGCATGAGAGAGATCTCTGTCGTTCTGAAAGATAAACTGAGCTTTGTGTTCCCCTACTCCTCTGCCTCGAACTCTGTCCTCTAACCCCCAAATCGCTGGTAAAGCCTTTACCAGTCTGCCGACTTTGTGAACAGTGGGGTTTAGACAACGCATGATGACACTCATAGAGTTTTCTTCAATCAGGTCATACTTCTCCAACTCCGGGATCTCCATCGGTTATTCTTCTCCAAGGAGATCCAGCTGTTTCAGCTCCTCCATGAGGGATATTTCCTTCTTCTTTCTCAATCGATTCATATCGAAGCACTCAAATCTGAAGCTTCAAGATATGTTGGATCAAGAAATCTACCGAACCTTTAACCAAAGACAAAAAGTCACTGAAGACTTAATGGACAGCGAGGTGAAGATCATTGTCGCCGATTGAAAATCTAGGAAAATTCAGAATTGCCTTAGAGATCGCCTCTTAGATTGTACGGAAACCCTAGCCGCCTCCATCTTTGGTTGAGTTTGTAAGTCTCCATGTGTCTATGATTTTCAAAGAGAAATATACTGACAAAAATAAATATGCTACTTGTTTTATAATATTTTATAGAATTTAAATTACTAAATATAATAACACAAGAGAGAAGAACACACTAAAAAATAACGCAAATAAAAACTCAACAAACTTGCAAATGTGAAAATATAATGGAGAAGAAATTATAAAAAAAAGAAATTTTTTTTAAAATGCCACTTTTGAAGTGTCATTTTACAAAAATGTAACGCTTTTGAAATGTTTACAAAAATGCCGTTTTTTCAAAAAAATATTTTCTTTGGGGCAATTACAAAAATGCCACTTTTGTGTGCACATTTGCAAGAATGCCAGTTAGGGGTGTCCATTTACAAAAATGCCATT